TTAGTTTATCGTTAGCCACAGTAAAGTGCTAATAGGGGCATTTTTGAACATATGTAGACATATTATTTCAAAAAAGAATCAGCCATTTTCATCTGCTATTGATGTCGTAAAGGTACAATGCCTTTGGGAGGCTAAGCTGGGCAGATCATGAGGTCAGGAGATCGAGACCATCCTGGCTAAGACAGTGAAACCCCGTCTCTACTAAAAATACAAAAAATTAAACAGGCAATGGTGGCAGGCGCCTGTAGTCACAGCTACTCGAGAGGATGAGGCAGGAGAATGGCGTGAACCTGGGAGGTGGAGCTTGTAGTGAACTGAAATGAAACCACTGCACTTAAGCCTGGGCGACAGAGCGAGACTCAGTCTCAAGAAAAAAAAAAAAAAGGTATAAATGCAGGGAGAAAGAAGGACCACAGATTAGAAATAGTGGCTGATTTTAGAAAAGAATGCTCTCCATGCTTTCCCTTCCTAGTGGCTTGTTAATGATTATTGTTCTGATAAATAACTTACCTGGGATTCTACTTATTAATATGCCCTTAGCGATTCTCCTTATACCATGTTATTCTCTATTTTTATAATATTGATTATACAAATTGACAGGTCATTTGATTGACAGGTCATATTGATTGACAAGTCATCTACCATAATACATAAGACTCATTTTTAAGAAGACCTCATAGCTAAGAGAAAATATATCTGTGAGAATGCTCTGACTGGTTATGATTTCTTCAATCAGTAGTGCCCAATAAGGTTAGTTTCCTGCTATACTTAGAACACTTCACTGTATTCTTCACGAAGCTCTAAGATGTCAAGAAGGGAACAAGGCAAGAAATGCTTTCCTTGGTGTGGGAAATCAGACATTCTGACCTCATCAGAGGAGTTGCACACACAGCAAATGGCAAGAAACAAGGTAGGAAACAAATCTGCACAAAATTTCTTTTATTTTTGCATTATTTAAACCATTGTGGATTTAAGTCATATTATAAACAGCCACTAATCTGTATATTAGAAACAGATATAACAAATCTGTTTTTTGTTAAATGTGATATCTTTTTTGGATAGCTGACATGATTCCAGTTGTCTCTCCATGTCACCTGTCCTCAGCAAGCTTTGATGTCAGGTTGCTCACTCCTTGTGTCACTCATTGAATGCATCATCCAGGATGCAATGAACAGAAAACTAAACAGTAGCTTAAGCATCATAATATGCCCGTAGCCATCAGTCTGCAGACAGATATTCCTGACTTGGTGTAGCAGCTCAACAATTTCCTCAAGAAACTGGGGACTATTTTTTTCTGCTTTGCCTTCCTTGGCATGTCTACTTGTCCTCATGCTTGTCACCTCATCATTGCAAGATGGCTGCCTCAGTTCCAGCAATTCCATCCACAGTCTTACATCCTGAGTATAAAAGAAAAAACGCAGAAAGAGCACCTCCCTTCGCATGCCCAGCTCTTTCAATGGTAAACAAAATTATCCACCAAAACCTTACCAGCCAGTCTCGCCTTATCTCTTTAGTCAGAACTGAGAAACATAGCCATCACTGGCTGTAAGAAACTGTGGAAATGTGACTGACAGTACTCTGATAAACTTAAAGCAATGATGATTCATCTCCTGGCATATTGCTTCCCTTAACAAAACCAACGTCTGTTTATTAAAAAGGCAGAACACCATGGCAGTTAATAGAACTTGTTTATAGTGCATTTCCCTGCTGCTTTTTCCTTTTTCTGTGTCCAGTACTGCACTTTTTAGTTTTGGTATCCCAAAACTCATGTGTGGAATAAAGCCCTAGGGAGTAAAGATGGAAAAGGTTGGCTGGCAGGTTACAGCTGAGGTGTAATGACTGATTGGAGTGATCTTGGACTAGCATCCTAGCCTGATGTTATCAGTCACTTCAGAGGAACTATTAAGAGATCTTAGGAACTGATTTAAGTTACTCAATCTCAGAGGAGACTGACTGGAAACTCTAATCTGTACACTTAGAGTAGAACATCTACTCAGAAAATTCCCATCAGTTATCTGCCCTGGCTCCAAAGCTACCCTTCCATATCATGCCTAGAGCTGGCAGAGTGCAAGCCACATTCCTGCAAACCACAATCTCTGCCAATGAGGCCTTAGTAATGCTACAAGACTGGGCCAAGGAGGACTTGCTCCTCCTATTGCTTCCCATCTGCCTGCAATTCCTATGAGCACTACTCCAAAGCTTCTAGAATCCCCAGCAACAGTTGAGCACCATTTGCAGCTTTCCCAACACATAAAGAACCAGCTCAATCAGCTCCTGCTCAGTGACAAGAGCATCAGGGGTGCAGTGCCCCTCCTTAACAGCCTGAGTTTCCACTCCTCTAAGTTTCTAAGTTGTAATAATTCCAACTTTTTCCTTTTGTTTCTCCAGTCATAGAGATGGTAGCTGCTTCTTAGTTACCCACACCTAGTTAACAACTTTATACCACATTAACCTTTCCTTAGGTTAAATTCTTTCAAATAATTGGTGTGATTTCTGTCTCCTGACTGGACCCTAGCTAATTCAGTAGTGTTACGTCATGAAGAGACAGTCAAATGAAGAAATCTTAAAATACCCTATGCTTCCCCACACTGGGGTTACTTACTGTAGTTGCAGGACCTTCACAAAGCCTCCAATGGAAGATAAGACCAGAGGGAGGCCACTGTTTATTACTACATTAAGGTTCTGGCCCCATATGCTTATGTGGAAGCCCTAACTTTGGTGAGCAGGGACAGATCTGGTGGGTCTGACAAGGAGGGGCCTGAGCACCCTCCTTTTCCCTGGGTCTCTTTCAAAGCAGAAGACCCTTTTCAAGCAAGAGACATATTCAGACTCCTCTTGTCATCACCTTCCCAACATCATGGGACCAGGGGAAGAACCATCAAGGATGATGGGTAGGGGTGGGGGTTTATTTTCAGAAAGAAGAACCGAAAGGCCAGGAAAATCAAGAGACTGACTCCAAAGAGAGGATGTCAAGTGAAAACCCAGATGTTGATCCCTTTTCATCACCTCTCCAAAAGCCTGACTCTCAGCAGCATGCTCATTAATATCCTTGTTCTTAACCCATCCATATTAGCATTCCTTTCTGGGGACGAGTGGCACCCTTATCCTAGAGAACCCTAAGTAGAGTCTGGTGAACAAATTTTGAGATGCTAGTGTGGTGAATGAGAACAGGTGAGTTGGATGGTCTTTAGGAATATTTCTATGAAGTAAGTAAGTTCCCATTTTCCACCTCACAGATCTTGTGTCTGACAAACTGGGACCAATTGTCTAAGCTCATGGTGCCCTCATTCCTAAATAGCGTAAATTTTGCTTTCTCTAGATTCATCATATTGCTTCATTTTGATGACTAAACTTCATCGAATTGCTGTATTACAATAAATTTTTGAACACTACGACTCTTAAATTTTCCTTTTGAAAACACATATTTAAAAAACTATTAACATTTTCTCGTCATTGCTTATTAAAGCATATGGTGAGTCATTTAATAGCAACAGCTATCGCTTTTGACTTGACTATGAGCTAGGGACATGAGCTCACTAACTTTACTATTAATCTCATTAATGGTATATTGTTTGGATTAAGCAGTACCAGAGGGGACAGAAAACCCAAACACCGTGTTAAACAAGTTAGAAGTTTATTTGTCCCTCAGGAAACCAGTCCAGGACTGATACAGCAGTTTCACAAGCAGTAGAGACCCAAGCTCTGCCTATTTTATTGACTCACTGTCTTCAATATGTGGCTGGTATCTCATTATTAAGGACGCTTGGAACTTAAACACATTACCTACGCTTGCATCCCACTGTTGAGAATTACTTGCAAAGTCATACCAAGCTGCAAGAGAGGCTGGGAAATGCGTCTATTCTGGACAGTTACATCTTCCACTCTACATGAGGAGGGAAGAGCTATTGGTAGATGTCTGTCCAACACCAGGACCTTTGATCTCCTTGAGTAGCTCTTCCTGTCTAATTTAAAAACAGGTTTATTGGTAGATAATCCATATTCTATACAATGTGCCTATTTAAAGTGTACAATTCAATGATTTTTAACATATTCAGAGTTTTTCAACTATCACTAAAATCAATTTTAGAACATTTTTATCCTCCTCCATCCTAAATAAACCTTGTACCCATTAGCAGCCACTTCTCTTTTACCTCTACCCACCTTCCCAGCCATAGGCAACCACTAACCTACTTTCTGTCTCTATGGATTTAACTACTTTGGACATTTCATATAAATGAAACCATCCAATATGTGGTCTTTGGTGACACTTCTTATACTTGGTATGTTTTTTGGTTCATACATATCATGGCATGTATTGGTACTCCATTTTCATTTTATGGCCAAACATTCCACTGTATGGATATACAACATTTATACATTAATCAGTTGATGGACACTTGGGTTGTAGCCACTTTTTGGCAATTATGAATAATACTGCTATAAATATTCATATATACATTTTTGTGTGGATGTATGTTTCTATTTGTCTTGAGTCTATGCCTGGAACAGGAACTGCTGGGTCATACAGTTCCATGTTTAACTTATTAAGGAACAGCTAAACTGTTTTCTAAAGTGACTACATAATTTTATATCCCCGTCAGCAATCTTTGAGGGTTCCAGTTTCTCCATATCCTTGTCAACACTTGTTATTATTTGACTTTCTGATTACAGCTATCCAAGTGGATATGAAATGATATCTCATTGTAGGTTTGCTTTGCATTTCCCTAATGACTACTGATGCTAAGGTTTTTTTTCCCTTGTGCTTCTTGGCATTTGTAAGTCTGCTTGGAAGAAAATCTACTCAAATCATTTGCCTCCCCTTAGGTTTTGAAATCTATTTTGTTTTCAAATACATAGTTCTGTGTCAACTGGTTACACCCTGCATACTAGGTTGGGATTTTTTTTCTCCCTTCAGCTCCTAGGGAAAGCTGGGTCTTTATCTATTGTGGGAAATTCAGCGAGGCTTTGAAAAAGTTAGGATTTACTTTCAAGTCATGTGATATTGTATAAACTGCAGATTTTATTCAGTACATGTAGACTTTCTGAGAAGAAATCTTATTTGAAAGCAAAGGAGCAGCCAACCTACAGGACAAAATGGGACGAGAGTATAGGTTAGTTTCCATTTTCTAGGTTCTCAGGCTTTTGAAATATTAATTTTAAGAGACAAGTTACAAAGCTTTACGAATACTATTTAAAAATATATAAGCAGGCTGAGCACAGTGGCTCACACCTATAATCACAGCACTTTGAAAGGCTGAGGCAGAAGAATTGCTTAAGCCCAGGAGTTCAAGATCAGCCTGGGCAACACAGTGAGACCCCTGTCTCTGCAAAAAATTTAAAACTTAGCCAGGCATGCTGGTATGTGCCTGTAGTCCCAGTTACTTCAGAGGCTGAAACAGGAGGGTTAATTGAGACTGGAAGGTTGAGACTGCAGTGAGCTATGATCACACCACTGCACTCCCACATGGGTGACAGAGTGAGACACTATCTCAAAAAAAAAAAAAAAAAGAAAAAACATAAGTGGTAATGACCATATTGACACACAATTGAATGATATAACTCAACTTTCTGTAATTATGCAATAATATATATAATGCTGTTAGCTAAAAATAATGCTTTCAATTATTTACATCTATTTAATATTTTGGTTAAAAAATAATGCTTTTGATTACTTATATCTCTTTCCACAAGTGATACTGAACATAGCCTATGAAACATATTTTGCTTGAAATGTGAAATGCAAAGTCAAATAAATACTATATCTAATTGTGGAGTCCTACACTATTTCATTAGCGAAGATGCTACAGGGAGACTGAGGGACAAAAAAAAAGACAATATAATGAAATGGAAAAAATGCTGACTTGGATGTCTAGAGTCAATGTTTTATTACAGAGTAAATCACTTAACCTCTCTGGACCTGGGTTTACAAATCTAGAAATGAAAAGGTAGGGAGCTATATAGATTTCTGAGGCCTATCTCTAAAAGTCCTACTTCCTGTTTTAATGGTATTTTATAAAATGGGTTGTGTTCAAAATGTGTGGAAAACTGTGGGTCAAATGGTTGTGATACTCTTTCAGTTACTTATCCAAAATCTATTCCCCACTTCTTCCTTGGTTTAATGTTAATTTGATTTGAGACAGCAATATGGCTAGGTCCACAGTGATGAATTGTGACTGGCCTAAGGTAATCATTGCAATTCTATTTTCAGCTTTCCTTGCTTTCCTTGCCGCTACTCATGGCCAAGTCAATGTATATGGCCATGGAACCCTCTTCATTCCAGAAGTATCTCCAAAGGATTACTTTTTTGGAGAGTATGATGGCCTAGGCTAACTATATTATAAATAGTAGATAGATAAGTGCATTTCTTGGCCAGTAAAGCCAGAATGTGTTATCTCTCAGACATTTCTTCCATAAAACATTTACTCTAATTTCTTTTTTTTTTTGAGATGGAGTCTTGCTTCGTCTCCCAGGTTGGAGTGCAGGGGCGCAATCTCAGCTCACTGCAACCTCCGCCTCCCAGGTTCAAGCAATTCTCTTGCCTCAGCCTCCAGAGTAGCCGGGATTACAGGGACCCACCACCATAGTCGGCTAAGTTTTGTATTTTTAGTAGAGATGGGGTTTCACCATGTTGGCCAGGATGGTCTCGAACCCTTGAGCTCAGGTGATCCGCCCACCTTGGCCTCCCAAAGTGCTGGGATTACAAGCGTGAGCCACTGCACCCGGCCTCTAATGTCTACAAATAAATAAAAACCTAAGCATTCATTTGTGTACTTGATCTTACGTTGCCCCCATTTTTGGAAAAAAATTTAAAACAAAGGAAAAATCTGTTGGTCAAGAAGGTGCATGTCTAGTAAACCCCTTGTCTATCATAAGCCTAGAGAACTTGGGAGTTAGTGAAATATAACATTTATGTTAATCAACCTTTTAGACATGGTTGTGTTGTGAAGTAAAAGCTGGAATCCAGTATTCTCAGTTCTGTGTATCATTATCACCAGTGGTGCTTTAAAGAGAAAATTACAGGTCTCTCTACATCTATCATACACCTCTTCAGATTCAATAGGTCTAGAGGTGGCTTAGACATCTATAATTTTTTAAAGTCCTACATTTGATTCTGATAGGCAGCCAAGGTGAAAACACTGTTTTATAAATCACAGCAGCTATGACTCTTCAAGATGCTTAGGTGAGTAAGGCCTTATGGCATGGTGAAAATATAACATTCTCACAGGTTTCAGGGACTCAGGTTTTTGTTCCGGCACTCGACACCTAGGTGACTTTGAGCAGATTACTTAAAACTCTTGGGCCTTAATGTGCCAGACTTAGGATAACTTTTGCTCTAGGTTTAAACAACAAGTGTTTATAAAAGCACATGGAAAATTATAAAGAGTTCAAAAACTGTTAACACAGTACTTAATGCTATTTTCCTCTTTACGGAGTGTCCTTTCCCTTCTTGTACGCTGTAAAAATCTTACCGTTCATTTCAGAGCACCAAGTTTAAATCTCTGAAGCCTTCCTTAAACCAACCCCACAGAAATGTTACCTCATCAGTGTTTCTGCAGCACTTTGTATACTACCCCTATCACACTGGTAGCGACAATCGACAACGTCTTGTCCCCTCATTGGTCTAGTGTAAGCTCCTACAGAATCCGGGAGGGGGCGGGGGGTGTCTTAATCTCTTCAGCGTTCCCTGTGCCTAGCAATGTTAGTTGAGGTGAACCAAAACCGCTATCCTCTCATTATTGAAAACACAGAAAGAAATTGCCTTTTTAGAACCCAATTACCTATTTTTCTCTTTTTTTTCAAAAGTGGAATCTTTTCTTCAATCTACCTGTACTTGTGGAACCCCAATCTGAAAAGAAGATTGAGGGGTTGGGAGATGCTGAGATCCGCCCCGGCAATCACAACACTTACGATAACACAGGTAATAATCTATTAGTGCCTGCACCTAGTAGGTGCCTGACTACCCATGACACACATTTATCTAATTATCTCAACCGTTTATAAAAGATGTGCTATTATTACCCCATTGTATTGCTAGATAACTGAGGTCCAGAGGACTTGGGTAACTCGCTCAAGCAAGGTCACAAGGGCAGAACTGAAATACGGATTTCACTCCAGAGCACCAAATATGAACCTCTACATGCACCTTCTTCATCTGGAAACATCTGGATGATTCAGTTCCTTTAGTGTGGCTCAGAAACAAGTAATCCGGAGTTCATCTGGGCTCCCATTTGATAGACTATGGTAAAGTGTAACTGATCAGACGTGGAGGTGGAAGCATCGCCACGAGAACCATTTCCTCATGATGCTCCTGTCACCTGGAAGTGTCCTAACTGTAACTTTATTTTTGTTTTAAAAGTTATTGTTAGAGGCAGGGTCTCACTGTGTCGCCGAGGCTGCAGTGCAGTGGCGCAATCACTGCAGCCTCGACATTCCTGGCTCAAGCGATCCTCCCGCCTCAGCCTCCTGAGTAGCTGAGACCACAGGCTCGCGCCACCACACTCGGCTAATTTTTACATTTTTTCTAGAGGTGGGGTCTCGCTTTGTTGCCCAGGCTGGTCTCGAGGTCCCAGGCTCAAGCGATCCTCCCGCCTCGGCCTCCCTAAGCACTGGGATTGCAGGCGTAAGCCACAGCGCTCGGCCGCTGTAACTTTAAATTGCCCGCAAGGACTCCGCAGCCCAGCCCTGCCCACCTCACCCGGTCACCCGAGGATGCCTGTCAACGTCTGGGAGCTGCGAGCGCGGGCCGGCCAGTCGTCTGCGCGCGGCTTTTTCTTCAGGATAACGGAGGCACACCGTGCTTTGCGGTTCCCGGGTCCTTCAGGTCTCAGACCTGTCAGCCCGCCACACTCCAGCGTGTACGTTGCGATCACCTACAGCCACCACGCCCTCCTCCCGGAGCCCGCCGGCCGGAAGTGACGGCCCGGAACTACTCCTACAGGGGGGCGGGGAAGGAAGATGGCGGCGCCCGGCAGCCCGTGAGGAGAGAGGACACGGGGATCCCGGAGAGCGGCCAGACTCGTGAATTATGGCCGCATCTCCTCACACTCTCTCCTCACGCCTCCTGGCAGGTACTGTACCTGCCTTGGGCACGACCTTGGGGGAAATTCTTCTCTTATTGCCACGTGCGAGGCCGTGGTTCCGGCTGGCTGCAACCTTGGGGAGCCCTTGGCGAGGTTGGCCGGCCACCGGTGTGGTGGGGGAACTGACCTCTGGAGTAGCTTGGAGCGAAGAGGCTACGGAACTAGGGTCCAGTCTTGCACTGTGACTTTGGTGGTCCACACCGCCTCTTCCATCCGGCTTCTGCGGAAGAGCGGCGTCTTAGTGCTTATTTCGGTTTTCAGATAGCGGAAGCTGGAGAGGGCAGAGTAGAACCTTGGGGTTCTCCTCCTTATCAGATCCTCAGCTTCTAGCCACTGGCTTACAATGACAAGGAAGTACTTTGCTTTCCACTTAGAAGCCTTGTTCCAGTATAAAGGGTCATGATGACAACGGTGATGATAATGACAGTTGCAGACATCGGGCTGTAGTCCCCCTGAGACTTTTGTCTTTGTACCGCCAGAGTGGTCTTGAATATCCTTTCACTCGAAGGAACTAGTGACAAATGTATATTGGAGCTGGAATGTTCTTCCTTGACTCTTGGTAATGTCTCATCTCAAATGTCACCTTTTCAGAGAGGCCTTTATAGGGACCACCCTATATAAACTAGGGCCCCCTACCTCTTTCTGTTCACATCATTCCATTTATTTCTTTCATTATGGTTAGCACAGTCTATACTTGTTTATTTATATACTAGTTTATTATTTGTTTTTCCTAACTAGAATATAAACCTTGTGATGGCAGGGACAGTGTCCATCTCTGGTTTACCTCTGTTTCCAGTGCCCAGAACATTACTTAATGTACATTGTTTGCTCCTAATAGTTATTTGTGGATGGATGCAATTTGTCCCCATGGAGATATGAAAGAGGACGTTGGGAATTGTCTTGCCCCCAGTATCTTAGATGATTAACTAATGGTTGTGTGAGGAATGCGATGCTGGTAGTGCATATTAGAGGCCAGATAAGAGAAGCCAGGGACTGCCTTTTGATCACATCCCGGAAACTTTTTTCAGTTGTCACCAACCACACACAAACTCTCTGTACCATCTGGTGATGTTGACACTGTGACTCCATGAAATTGCATTCTTCTTTTTCATAATGTTATTTTATGGCTCTCTTCTGGTCTGTGTGATCCCAGGGCAATTCATTTGACTTTTCTGGAATTGAGTTTACTCATCTGTAAAATGATGTAATTGAAGTAGGTGATCTCAAAGGTCCTGATTGGTTTGTAAATTGAAGAGGTAGAATAGATGAAACGGGATTGGCTAGGGTTTGGTAATTGATGAAGCTTGGGGATAAGTAATGGGGGCTCATGGTACTCTTCTGCTTTTACACATGGCTGTGATTTTCTCTAATGAAAAGTTGTTGTTTTTTAAAGTCCTGTGATTCTTTTTTGAATCACTTCTTTGTTACCTTCTACCATCCCTGACTGTGAATGTTCTTTGATCCTGATCCTGGGCACTCATTCTCAGAGAACTCATCCTTTTCTAGTGCTTGAAATATTTCCTCTGTATGTAGGTTTTTCCAGCATGCATCCTTCAGATTAGCTGTTTTTCTGCCTTTCCATTCTATATTGTCAGCTGTAGGTCAATTCTGCTTGACTACTGTAAATTCCCCAGTTCCAATGGTGGGCTGTATATGGCCCACATGGTTTGTTGCTGCATCAGTCTTTGCAGTGGTGGTATGGAAGGAATTAATGAACAGCTTACTCCCTGAAGCTGTGAACATAATTGCCAAAAACTCTGCTGGTAAGTGGCCTGTATAACTTCCTATGATCCACTTGGAAGATTAGTATGAGAGCGTGATGAGGAAGCAGCATGGTGGGACGAGGTGGCAGAGAAGGTAACCTGGGACAGTGTTAGTGATCGAGTAGTATCATGCCTGATTCTGCTTCTAAAAGTTCTAAGTATTTTATAGCCATTTAAAAACTAGGCATGCCTGTAATCCCAGAACTCTGGGAGGCCAAGGTTGGTGGACCACTTGAGGTCAGGAGTTCAAGACCAACCTGGCCAACATGGTGAAATTCCCTCTCTACTAAAAATACAAAAAAAAAACCACAATGTTGAAATGTCTTTCAGTTTCTGGGCACTGATCATAGAAATGTGACGTGTTTCAACTAAATGAAATGTCAGTTTCCTAACTGTTTTTTTCTTCTTACTACCATTCTGTAAAATCTCAGTTTGACCACTTAATCTTTTTTTTTTTTTTTTTTTTGAAGATGGAGTTTTACTCTTGTTTGTCCGATGCGGAGTGCAATGGGCACAATCTGTTGCTCACTGCAACCTCGCCTCCCGGGTTCAAGCCAATTCTCTGGCTCAGCCTGCTGGATAGCGGGTTACAGGCGCTCACAACCCGGCTGGCTAAAGTTTGTATTTTAAGTAGAGAACGGGTTCCACCATGTTGCCGGGAATGGTCTTCCAATCTCCTGACCTGCAGGTGGATCGCGCCCACTTTG